CCCATGTTTGCTTTCACTGACAACTCAGTACTGTATATGCAAAAGGGTTCATATTTGTTGTCTGTACTGCCCATGTAACTCTCCATGTCTTTCTCATCCTCAACAGTACCATTGATTCTTGAACATATGTCACCTCCTGAAATGGGTGAATATCAACCAGTTCTTTTTGGTACAGTGACTCAGTATATTCCTCCCATCTTTTGATGCTTTCTGCATCATTCAATATTTTTCCCATAGAATTCTTCAATATTGCAACCTTAGACCTAAATTTTTTCCTCAATTCTTTCAGCTTGAGAAATGCCAAACATGTTCTTCCCTTTTGATTTTCTAACTCCAGGTCTTTGCCCATTTCATTATAGTAATTGGCTTTGTCTGTTTGAGCTGCTCTTTGAAATCTTCTGTTTAGCTCTTTTATCTTGCATTTCTTCCATTTGCTTTATCTACTCTTCACTTAAGGGCAAGTTTCAGAGTCTCTTCTGACATCCTTTTCAGTCTTTTCTTTCTTTCTCATATTTGTAATGACCTCTTGCTTTCTTCATGGATGATGTTCTTTGTGTCATCCCACAATTCCTCTGGTTTTTGGTCACTGGTGTTCAATGCATCAAATCTATTCTTTAGATAGTGTCTAAATTCAGGAGGGATATATTCAAGGTCATATTTTGGCTCTCATGGACTTCTTTTAATTGTCTTCAACTTAAGTTGAACTTACATATGAGCAGTTTATAGTCTGTTCCACAATCAGTTCCTGGCCTGGTTTTGGCTGAAGATATTGAGCTTTTCCATTGCCTCTTGCCACAGATGTAGTCAATCTGATTCCTTTGTACTCCATCTGGCAAAGTCCATGTGTATAGCAGCCATTTGTGTTGTTGAGAAAAGGTATTTGTGATGAATACATCATTGGTCTTGCAAAATTCTATCATGAGATCTCCAGCATTATTTCTGTCACCAAGGCCAAATTTTCCAACTACTAGTGATTCTTCTTTGTTTCCAGCTTTTGTATTCCAGTCACCAGAGATAATTAACACATCTTGATTGCATATTTGGTCAATTTAAGACTGCGGAAGTTAATAAAAACCTTAAAGTTCCTCATCTTTGGTTTTTGTGGTGGGTGAGTAAATTTGAATAATGGTGGTATTAACTGGTCTTCCTTATAGGGGTATGGATATTATCCCATCACTGACAACATTGTACTTCAGGACAGATCTTGAAACATCCTTTGCGATAATGAATGCCATGCCATTCCTCTTCAATTTGTCATTCCTGGCTTGGTAGATCATATTGTTGTCTGATTCAAAATGGCCAAAACCAGTCCATTTCAGCTCACTAATGCCTAGGATATCAATCTTTATGTGTTCCATTTCATTTTTGA